AACGACAAATCCGAAACACTAGGAAAAACCCGGGACGGAGAAGGTCTTTTGTCAGACTAGATACATTTCTCTGGAAAATCTCTGGCTGCAAAAAGTACTTCCAAGATAAGACTTGGTGCTTTGCGCAGGAAAACTCTATGGTAAAAGTAACAGTAACTTTTAATTTAGATTTGGTGATCTGTTTTACTTTTCCTCCTATGCTATGTAAAAGATTTGCTATTTTGGAGGCACAAGATATTGCCAGAGTTGTGAAAAAATCACTAACTGCTGGAAGTGTAGCAAAATGCTGTAGTAAAGATTGAAGAAAGAGGAAGAAGAAAAAGAATAGAAATCTTCAGGGATGTTCCATATTTGAATGGCTTTGTATCTTTGTGTGTCAGAGGCCTGCATGCTCAACTTGTGCCTTTTACGACTCACTTTTGTTGTGTTCTCTCTTGTCACTTTTGTTGTGTTCTCTCTTGTCACTTTTGTTGTGTTCTCTCTCTTGTCACTTTTGTTCTGTTCTCTCTTGTCACTTTTGTTGTGTTCTCTCTCTTGTCACTTTTGTTCTGTTCTCTCTTGTCACTTTTGTTGTGTTCTAGTATGATGTTGATGGTTGTTTATCAGCTTACTGTTTTCTGTGTTGAGATATTTATGTAGAAGTTTTTGTTGTTGTCCTGTTGTGCCGATGAGCCTGAGGCCTTAACGAGAACACGATGAATGCTATTTTATAAAGAGGAACAGAGATATTTTAGAAAAGAGGTGGAGATGTATCCATGTTTGACATCAGCACATACTGGTCGGAAACAATGAAGTTTGGCTCTGAATCTGTGTCATGAACATACATAGAGTAGACATGTTGCCATTTATTGCCACGAACAGACATCGACATGTTGCCATCTATTGCCACGAACATCGACATGTTGCCATCTATTGCCCCATCTTTTCAAGGTGTTATTGGCTTTTTCTTTGTCTATGGGACACAATATGTCTCTCATGATATACTCCAGTTCCTGGCTACTTTTTCATACCTCTATGACAGATTTTCAGGTTCCGATTTGTTCTGACAAATTTCTTTGTACATGTGTTTGAAATACGTACATTGAGAAATTTGTACATGTGTTTGAAATACGTACATTGAGAAATTTGTACATGTAACTAAAGGGTATTTGCTCCCCAACGATTTCGCTGTGTGTGTGTGTGTGTGTGTGTGTGTGTGTGTGTGTGTGTGTGTGTGTGTATGTGTGTGTCTGCTTGTTTCTTTGTGTATGTGTCGTCTCGTGTTTTCTCTCTTTCCTGTCCTGGATGTCTGTCTTTGGGTCTGTCTGGTTGCGTGGACTTTGATTGTTCCGTTTACCAAATATTGGTGGGTGGTTGGCGGGTGCTCTGGTGTGGTTTGCTGCTTCTTTCTTATCCGACATCTATCGTCCTGATCTCTCCGCTTTCTTTTTTGTGTTTGTTACTCTCTTGTAAAACCCTAATCTTCGGCACTTCTATGACCTTATTGTGTAGCAAGTGCCGTAAAACTCTTACTCTTACAAAAACTAAAGCCAAGTGACACAACCACAACAACAGCAGCACTTCAGGGAAAGGGGAGTGAGTCGGTCAGATCAATACTTGTCTGTGTCTGTGGATCTTTAGGGATAGGGGAGTGAGTCGGTCAGATCAATACTCGTCTGTGTTTGTGGATCGTGTCATGACTGTCCTGTCATGTCCCCCTTTGTCTCTTTGATGTCCTCCCTCCCTGTTCCCCTCTGTCTCTTTGATGTCCTCCCTCCCTGTTCCCCTCTGTTTCTTTGATGTCCTCCTCCTCTCTTTTATGTCGGGGTTTTCAAAGGAACAAGATCACACACACACATGAGTGCGGGTGGTTGGCGGGTGTTCGGCGAGTGTTCACAGGGTGTTCATGGTGTGATTTGTTCCTTTCCTACCAACCGTCTGTGCTCCTTGTACCGGCCCTCCTTCTTTGAGTGGGATGTT